CCTTAACATAGTTGCCAGTGGGTATTGGCACATAGGCAAAGGGCTGGCATCAGCAAGGGTGTGGAGCCCGCTCGATTTTTCCTATCTTTTTTTTAAAAAAAATCCTTGCCTGAGGATATGTTTTTATTGACTTTAGAGAAAGAGGAAGGGAAAGGAAGAGAGAGAGAAACATCAGTGTGAGAGAGAAACCTCAGTCGCCCCAACTGGGGATCAAATCTGTAACCTAGGTGTGTGTGCCTGCATCTGAGCCGCCCAACGTGGCTGAAGGAAAACACAACACTAGTGACTGATTCGCTCTGCATTTGCCACCACACATCGGGGGCCCCTCAGCAGGCCGGGCTCTCACCGCTGCACCTCCCTATCCCGCTCGTTCCTGCACTCACTTGCAGATTCTGCTGTGGGAGGGAAGAGCAGACGGTGCCGGGGTTCAGTTAGTGGTTAACCAACCTCTTACTTGGCAGGACTTGCCTTTTCTGATTGCCTGGGGCGACATTCAGACCCACAGTTCTGTGAGGGAGGCGCCTCGTCTGAGGCTTATAGGTAATAGATTGTTATCTAATTAAGGGAAAGGTCCTGAGAAAAGTAGGGGAAAGGGTGTGGAGTCTGATGGAATTTCTCAAAGAACCACACTGAGCCCTGACTGGGTGTTTTGCTGTCTCTCCATTGTCACCATTCCAGGCGCGGCCTTGTGTCTACGATGTCATGCAGGGAACAAAGCTAGCAAGACGAGGTGCAGCCTCCCGGAGGGAGGGTTCAGTGTGTGCACGGGGAAGACACAGTGCGGTAACGGTTGCCTGTGATTCTCAAGGAGCAAACCCTGGCACCGCCTGTCACACCGCCCCTGGCATTCACTGTGTGTTCGCCTTCGCACACACTGAAACAGCTGGAAAAACATTCTGTGCTCGCAGTCTTCTTATGTCAATAACAAATAATAAGCCACAAAGCAAACAATTTACATAAGCAACCGCCTCTGCTTTTTTGGAGGTCTCAGAATTTTGTTGATAATGGGCATCCTTAGAATTTGCATCGCATTTTTATCATGTCAAACCCTTTTTTTTTTTTTTAACTTGGCACTAGGGCTGTTTGAACGCTTCTTCCCAAATCAACCCAGAAAGCACCAGGAAAAAAAAAGTAAAGCATGAATTGGAAGCATTTTTTTTGTTTTAAAAGCTGTGAGAAATCCCTGAGGAGTCTGAAGGATGCCCTAGATGGGGATGGGACAGAGGCAGGGATGAGGCTGGAAGGGGGGTGGAGCCTGGGGTGGAGGATGGCTGGAGGGGGCAGAGGGAGGAGGGACATTTAAAAGCCCTACCCTGGTGCCCAGTGCAGGCACAGACTTGCAGATTGACCAATCACACTCTGACGATCCCTGTAACAAACCTCCATTCTCAACCCCCCAGATGGATGGCCCAGCAATATTCTCCCGGTGCCATGGTTTCCTGGCGGTTTAAATGTGAAGCCGTGGTCAGGGGTGTCTCCTGGTGACGTGGCAGCAAACACGGATGGTCCACAGGGGGCTAGGCAATGTCTGGGGCTCTCCCTGAGGGCCCTCCCCTGAAATACACACCTACCAGGGCCCGGCCTTCAGCGCTTACCCAACACACAACACCAGAGAGTGGCCATTGCCCAGAGAACAAAACGGCAGGCGCCAAAATCACAATACTCTGAGGACTGTAAAGGAAGACAGCACACTGAAGGACACATACCATAGGAAACAGAATTTCTGGAAACAGACCCAGAATTTAAAATAACCATGCTGTGTGTCTAAGAAAGAAAAGGAAGAATTCGTACTGGAAGGCGCTACTAAGAAACGAGGAGAGGAAAAATGATTTTCCCTTTTCTAGGTCCTTGGCCGAGTCCTCCTTATAATAAAAGACAGAAGAACAAGAGAAACGCAAACCAGTTTAATAACATGCATACCTCCTGCATCTTACAAAACACAGCTGCAACCAGGAATGGTTGTCAAGGTGGGGTGAGGGAGGGAGCTGGAGTGGAAGACTATATAATGATAGAAATGTAAGTTTTATATCCATAGCTACACAACTTGTAGTACAGTGGCATTAACATAGACTTTGGAGTCAGCCATATCGTACCTGGATGCATGGAACTAATCGTTTGGAATTTCTTAGAATCCGTTTCTTCACTTAGAGTATCACTGGATTATGGTGGTGGTGAAGTGGGATAGTGCATGTCAGGCACTGAGCACAGTGCCTTGAACATGATAAGTGTTCAATAAATGAACGCTGTGCACTGGGGAGGGTGTGAGGAAATGAACCAGCATCTACAGGCTGAAGAGGACCTGATTTCCTCACGCTTCCTCCCACTGCCCACAAGCCATGTCTGCTACACAGGACCCCTGCCTCACACTTGGTGCGCAATAGCTGGACCTGGGAAATCAAGGGAGGGTCTGCTGTGTGAATGCTGCCAGCCTTTCATGAGATAAGAAAATAATCATTGGGCTGTTAAGGAAGGAACTTGGGTCCGGCTGGCGTGGCTCAGTGGCTGAGCGTTGATCTATGAACCAGGAGGTCATGGTTCAATTCCTGGTCAGGGCACATGCCTGGATTGCGGGCTCAATCCCCAGTGTGGGGTGTACAGGAGGCAGCCGATTGATGATTCTCTCTCATCATTGATGTTTTTCTCTCTTTCCCCCTTCCTCTCTGAATATATATATATATATATATATATATATATATATATATATATAAACTTTTTTTTAAAGGAAGGAACTTGGCAGCCTGCAACTTTGCTAGCTTCAAGATTTAGGTCATCACACCACCATCATCATGCCTGCAGGTGAAGTGCAATAGTCTGGCTTGTGGCTCAGAGCAGAGGCAGAATAAATTTCCTCTTGTTTGTGTTTGCTTACGGGGAGGAGGATCTAGAGGAAAAGTCAGGTAATCCTACAGAGTAAACAGGATCAGAAAAATGAACCGGAGATCTTCGGTGCACAGGATGGCGCCCAGCCAACTGAGCCCCGCCAGCCAGGGCTCTGAGATTGTTTTTAATTATAAAAGGAAGATAGACTTTGCCGAATGCTTAAAATAAAGCCAACTGAGATAACCATGTGAGGGTTTTCCTTCATGCTATTAACATACACGGATTGGTTGATTTTCTTGTGCTGAATCCTGCATTCCTAGGATAGCCACATTTGGTTTTAATTAGCAGTGCTCTAGTTAAATTAACTAGTGAGGTTGAATATCTACTCATGTGCTTATTGGCTATTCGTGTGTATTTTTTGGTGAAGTGTCTGTTCACTTCTTTTGCCCATTTAAAAAATAATCAAGTTGCCTTCTTATTGAATTGCAAGCCCTTTCTCAGATCTATGTTGTACAAATATTTTTCTCCCATTTCATGACATGCCTTTTAGCTTTTCAGCAGTATATTTTAAGAGCAAACACTTTTCATGTTGATGATAATTTATGATTTTTTTTTTCTTCTGTGGTTTTGGCTTTTTGTGTCCTAAGACATCTAACCCAAGATCACAAAGAATTTCATCTGTGTGATTTCTGGCTTAATCTTTATGCCCTCAGCTTACTCTCCTTTGCCTTCATCCATGCAGTGACTATGATGACTTCACATGGAGTAAGTCTGAGGCAAACGTGTGCTAGATTTTTGAATCAGAGCTTGGAACGCACCTCCCTCTCCATCCTGTCTGTATTGCTTCCCGTGGGCTCCTTATGGGCCAGGAGACACATGCACAGAGTTTCCTGGAGCCCAAGTTTCGCCTGTGCTGCTGTCCTACTCCCCAGTGGAGGGTGTCAGCTTGTGTCACGGTCGTAAGCAGCTAATATGACAGCTTGTGTCACTCTCAGAGAGGACAGCTGCACTTGTTAAGCATGTATGTCAGGCCCCATTCCAAACTCGACCTGTTTCCACCAATTTAGCCCTTAGATTCCCGAGAAAAAAGACAGGGTCTCAGAGATGTCAGGCTCCACCTCCTACAGCCAGTTGGAGGCAGTCGCAGAGGCCTAATTCCAAAGCCTTTTGCTCTTCCCAGTATAACAAACTGCCTTAGGCGGTGGCTGGAGTTTTATGCCCGTGAGCACACTTGGGGGAACAGCATCTACCTGGTTGCTTTCTTTTTGGCATCAGGTGCCTTTCCAGTCTCGGTTCAGACACTTGAGTCTAAAGTCCTACTGTGGGGCCTCAGGACAGAGCTCCCCAAGGACGGCCCCTGGCCCCCAGGTGGAGAACCACCTCACCTGCTCTCAGCCAGCAGGGCCCCAGAAGGGCCGTGAGCAGGTGCACTGCCCTAAGTACACAGCTAAGGGGGCAGCCTGCTCTGGTCCTGCGGCCCATGGGCTGTGCCTTCCCAGACGGGCATGCCTCCTAGACAGGAACCATATCTGTAGCAGCGGCCTTTGTGGGAAGCAGACTACATCCCTGGGCTCCAGGGAGCTACCTGAGCGAAGTTAACCATCCCAGTCCCTCCTCTTGGCCATAGTGTTGGCTAAGAGGGAGCATGTGACTCAATATTCTTGGCCGAAGAGGCTGTAATTTGGAGGCTTTTGTCTGAGGGCTGTGACTCTCTTTCCTGACAAGGTGAGGATTGGAGCTGCTGTAGCCAACCGTGCAACTAGCTGGGGTGGAATAATAGAAGTTTATTCTCAGCAAAACAAGGTCAAAGGGTACGGAGAGAAAGCCCCATCCTGGGGGCTTTGTGGAGCCCTTGGTCAAGCGATGCCTGAAGCCCAGACCTGCCTGTGGACGGCGGAGTGACATAAACAATACTTTTTCTTGTTTGCTTGAGACAGTCTGGCTGTCAGTTGTGACCCAAAGCTCACTAGCGATTCCTCCAGTCTTCAAACCTGTATCCCTGGTGGCCAGACACCCAGCTCTTTCATCAGGAGGGATGTGCACCCCTAGTCTGCACGAGACACGTGGAGGCGGGAGGAGGAAAGACGAGTGTCATGGATAGCGATTGTGGGGTGAGCATTTAGAGCTGGAAGCCATTGTTGTATCGATGTTGAGGGCTCTGCCTCTAACCCGATAAAAACAGTGCAGTAAGAGCCTCACCAGCATGGTTACCACGTTTACTTCCTGAGGCAAGGATCAGACATAGACACGGTGGCAGGGCAAGAAGGGGGGAGGGGTTTGGGCCGGGGCTGCGGGACCCCGATTCCTGCTCTACGGCCGGTACTTGCAGAGGAAGTGTTGGAGCTTGTCGCATTCCTTGCTGTTCCAAGTTAAAAAGTCTGTAAGAGAATGAACAGCCATGTAAATGCATGCGGCTCCGTGCTGAGCTGAGCAGCGTTTTCTGGCTGCTTTGCTTGGAACCAGAGATAAGGGGGAGGGGAGGGCGGAGCCTTAGAACTCACTGTGGGCGTTCATCTCAGCACAGTGCTTGTTTCCAGCCATGGACCTGCCGGACCAGGTTTTGAATAAATACGAGGTCCCGTCGATCCACCGCCACTGCTGACTCTGCGGGTGACAGGAGACAGAGGGCATGCAGAGGTCAGCCCCGCCTTTCACAGCCCCGGGGGTCACCCACCCCCTCACAGCCCAGGTACAGCCCTCAGGCCCCTCTAAAATGCAGTTCTTGTTTCTTGTTTTTAGTTTTAAATATATTTTTATTGATTTCAGAGAGGAAGGCAGAGGGAGAGAGAGGTATAAAGCATCAATGATGAAAGAGAATCATTGATCGGCTGCCTCCTGCATGTCCCCCACTGGGGATCGAGCCTGCAACCCAGGCATGTGCCCTTGACCGGAATCAAACCAGTGACCTCCTGGTTCATAGGTCAACACTCAACCACTGAGCCACCTGGCTGGGTGAAAATGCAGTTTTTATTTTAAAAAGTGGGAAAGCACAGGAGTGTGTGAAAAAGGAAACGCTGAAAGTCGCTCCGTAAACATTACGCATCTCTTAGCGTATTCATTTCTGGCGTAAGCATTTTTATCTATCACAATATGCTTGTGAACTAAAAAACAGGTGATCTTTAAAATATATATCCAACTCTATCTTGCTTCCGAAACATTTTTTAATGCTAAGTCTGTACCATAATTTACCTGAATAATTCCCCTAATGATTGAAGTTTATATTGTTTTCAATTTACAATTATTACAAATAATACTGCTATAACTTTATTCCTAAAGCTGTCTCTATACTTAAAATTATTTTCTTGGAATAGAATCCCAGAAATAGAATGAATGGCCAAAGGGCATGAATCGTTCCAGGGGATTGATATTCATGGCCAACTCCTGTCCAAAATGATTCATTTGGAGGAATTTACATCCCCATCCAGTGGGCAATTAGGCATATCCTTAAAAATATTGGAAAAAATATTATTGATTATTAAGACAAAACAAAAGTTTGATAGAACAATAAGTCAAGTTATATCCCTTTAATTTGCATTTCTTTGATAACTAGAGACATCACATACTTTCTAGAACGTTCATTCGCCAATTCCTTTCTTTAGTCACAAATGTATAAAAATGAATGACAAAGCCTATCTGGTGGAAATAGATGTAAATATTTTACCTCTGGATGAGAGCTCTGGTTGGTAGCAGTGTGAATACATAAAAATGGAGAATGAATTGTAAAGAATATGTGTAACAGCGGTGGGAAAGCTTTATCAAGGAACTGTCTGGGCGTTCGCTCCCGTGTTCCATACGTTTGTCTGGGTTGACTATAGACGCCCCACGAAGAACCTGCTCACAGCCGATCCCACAGAGACCTCCACCCGAAGACCTCACAGGCCGCTCCTTACAATGAAATGTTGACGGAGAGGAAAATGAGGGTCTAGTGCAAAAGGTTAAGGAATCATCAAAAGCATAAGCGCATCGGCTCTGGCCAGTAGCTCAGTTGGCTAGAGCACTGTTCTGGTACGCCGAGGGGTCAGTACCATCTCCGGTCAGGGAACGTACAAGACACAACCAATGAGTGCACAGATAAGTGGAACAACAACTCCCCCCCCCTCAATAAAATATAAAAATTTAGAAAACATAAGGGCATCTAGGAGAAAGCTTAGCTGAAGGTTTCCAACTTTAAGCCAAGATCCAATGGAGATTTAATTAAGCTGGGTGCCATACCAGGTGTGTGTGTATGTGTTTGCACAAACATTTTTTTTTTAAAAGGTGGTAATTTTGCGTTCTAAGATTGGGGAGGACTTTACTTGGAACTGGACCCTGACCAGGAGGCTTTGGCCCCTCTCAGTTGGAGGCACGTGACTGAAGTTCTGCTCTGTGTGCCCCCTGCCAGGGGGCCTGGCGGCCAGTTCTGGAGAGGGGCTAGCTCTCTGGCTTTCCCACAGGGCCTCTGTGGGCCTCTGTGGGCCACGTCCAAGTTTACCTTCTGCGGGTCGTGCAGGCCGATCCACACGGGCAGGTTCCTTTGGTAGCCACCTATGTATTCGGAGATGGCTTTGGCTTCCTGTAGGTTCTGTATAGACGCCAGGTGGGCTCCGTTCCCAAAGGACTGACACTCGAGCTGTGGGCAAGGAGAAGTCACGGTGATGCCTCGAGGTTTAAAAGCACAGCCCTCGCCTGCGCCACTCAGTGGGGCCTCTCACAACCCCACCGCCTCCGGAAGTCGTCATCTAAACCCCACAGAAGGCGTCCTGGCCTTCCTGTCACCAAGGGAGGGAACAAGTGCCGGGTCTCAGAGGACGAGGCAGCTCCAGGCAGGGGCCCGGGCTGTAGGGTCCGTGGAAGTGCCTGGGGTCCTGGTGTTGCCTCTCATTAGTGTATGTGACCTGGACAAGTCACTGCACCTCTCTGAGCTCACTTAATTATCTGGAAATGGAGAAAATGATTACCACGACCCAGGGAGTTGTCAGGAGGCCACATTTGTCATAATTATGTTTTATAATATTACATCCCAAACAAATCTAAGAAGCCACTGATTATAAAATGTGCTATTCTCCAACCTGAAACTTACTGTCCAATGAAACCAAGCAAACACTTTACACGCATTTTATCGATAGAGATATACACTGTGTTACGGGATCTGCCTACGGGATAGAACTTTAATGTAATAAAAACATGGATTGGCCGTGGCTGCTACTCCAGTGCTTGCCTTCAGGCTCTTGCTTGGGGTGAGGTGTGGTCCCTGTGTAATGATAGCTCAGTCCTCACACTCGCCATCCACTCTACAGCTCCTAACTGCTTTTAAACTGGGAGTTGCACTTGACTTTCAAATGCGTGAGGCATGGAGGCCAGATTACCAGTCAACATGTAGTGGGTGCACCAGGCACAGAACTTCCTGGGGTGGAGAGGAAATGGGCTGGGAGTGTTTAAGCGATATTTTCCCTCCAAGCTCACACAGCTGGTGGCGGCGAAGCTGGAACAGGACTCAGACCTCCCTCCGCCTCTGCAGCCAAGATGGGCTCTCCCTCTCATTCTCCCCGTCTGTCCCCTGGATGGCTTCCAGGAGCCTCGGGCACTAAGATTGGCCATCAGCGCTGGCAGGGAGCCAAGAACAGCAGGGACCGCGGCGTCCAGAACCTCCTCCGGCCTCCGGTGCTGCATGGCTAACTGCCAAGGCTCGGTCTCGATCCTGTGGACTCATTTTTTTGCCTTGAAAACCTGAACTGAGTATCTACCGCGTGCTACCGGCTTTTGGCAACTTGCTTTAATAAGTCCCCCTGACAGCCCCCGGGGGTCAACGTGTTACCCCCATTTTACAGCAAGAAAACTGGTAAAGTGAGGTGCTTCTGTCACTAAGGAGCATCAGAGCCCTGACTTAAACTCAGGTCTGAGGAGCTCCGAGGTCCCAGTCAGCTTCCTCCACCCCCCCCCCCACCCGCCAGCCCCCACCCCCCGCCCTCGTTCTGGCAGAATTAGTGCTGGAATTTCCAGGGACAGGCAGACAAATGCCTCCCAAGGTTTTCTCAAGCTGCTTCCCACATCACTCTTTCTCCCCCCCACCCCCCGACCCTCTGCCATGGACAGCCTGAGGACCCCTTGTTTGTATATATATCTATATATTTTAAACTATCATTCCCATCAGTTCAGGAAAGCATTGCGTTATGGCTGACTTCCTGGGTTTGCTAGCTCCTCTTGCTGGGATCTTGGGAAGACATTTTCCGTTTACATGCCACCATCCCCATGAATTCTGCACGTGTTAAGGCCAGAGAAGTCTTGGATCCTCAGTAGCTATCTCACCGTAGGGCATCATCAGTGCTGAGTTGCTTGTCTCAGGGATTCTGAGGCCATTCCAGGCCCAGGTCACCCCATACTTTCCCATGAGGCCCCCACAGTCACTTCAATGAAACAACCACAGGCCAGAGAGGCACAGCGGACTCCCCACGCTCCCCTGAGTAACTCATTCGACCGGCTCCTTGGGTATCTCTGAAGCCGCGGTGAACTGAGCTGATGTATTTGCCAGGCCGTGAGGACCACTAAACTCTCCATCCTCTGCCTCACGGTCTGTCAGGGTCTGAGGCCTGAGCTCCAGGCCTGGCCACACCCCTGCTCTTCCTGGCAGCTCTCCTACTGCAATGCAATGGCTCTTTCTGTAACTTCTCAGCTCCTCGTCCTCCTCTGACTCACACAGTTCTGTCTCTCTTACTGACAGTGAACTCCCGGAGGGCAGGGGCTGCGTCCTGTTCATTCTCACATCTTCGCAGCCCACTGAGGGTCCGGGCAGAGAGCGCCCGCTCCATCAATGCTTGAAACATGGGCTGAGTTGAGCACATAGCCCTCTTCTCTCCATGTCACCAGCCAGGTGACTTCTCGGGATGCCCAGCAAGGACCCTTGATTCGGAGTCAAAGGAGGTCTGGAGCCCAGGGTGGCCCCCGGCTTTGGACAAGCATGTCTTACCTCAGCATCGGACCAATTCCTCAGCTTCCGGAAGTACCCGTAGCAATGGGACTTGTAGTAAAACCACCCGGTAGCACAGCTGGGCCTCATGAGGATGTCTGCACGCAAGCACAAGGCAATGACAAGTTCCGATGGCAAAAGCCATCCATTTCCCCTCCATCCCGTTACAGACCTGGCGTCCCTGGAATGGAAGGGAGGCTCGGACTTTCCTAGGCTGTGAATACTCTAGACTGAATCCTCCCCAGTCTTTCCCCAAGGGGACGACGGCCTCTTACCAGAATGGCTGTGCACTGGGGAAAAGTACAAATTGGATCCTTGGAGGATTACTGGACGCTGACTCTGAACCGACACTAATTCCAGGACAACCAAAGTGTCGCTGTGCTCCACCAGCCAGCGGAGTGGCGATGAAGTCAGGTGACCAGCGGAGTCTGGCTCAGGTCCCTCTCGCCCTGGGCCCCATGGGTCCCCACCCCATCTGATGGCTATTTCCCATCAACAAATGCATTGGGTGGAACCCCCACATTGGTACTGAGGTCCAACAGCTATATGTCGAGGCACCCAGGAGAGGGCGAGGGCTCGCGTTGGTAGCTTCAGGCACGACAAGGAGGGAGTGGCTTTTTGCCCAGGGAGACATAGGACAGGCTAATGGCAGCTGGGCTGAAAACTGAGATGAGCTGGGCTGTGAGACAGTAGCCCGGGGAGGGGCCACGTTAGGCAAAGGGGGTGGGTGAGCAGAGGAGTGGAGGCAGGAATGGGCAAGGAAGGGTAGGGTGTCCGTCAGGCAGGCGTAGGAGAAAGGGGAGAGAGGGAGGATTGGGCCCAGGAGCCAAGGAAGCGTGGCCCAGAGCGGCAAACTCTCCCTGTTGGGCGACTGGTGAATGGGCTGCGTCCCTGAACCGTTCAGATTGCCTTCTTTAATCCCCAGACCTCCAGAGAGAGAGATGTCCATCCCCACTGTACAGATAAAACCTCAAAGAGGTGAAGTGGCCTGTTGACGTCACGCAGATGGAGATGAGGTGGGACCTGCGCAAGGGCGAGTGTTCCTAGCAGCCCCAGCCCCCAGCCCCACCTCTCCTGGTGCCAGAGCTCCTGGTCACCACGTGCGTGGCAAAAGCCTTCAGCCGCTGGTGTGTCGCCTGGATGCAACAGCCTGTTTACTCCACCGCTGCGAGATGTGGTCTCGGGAGCTCTCTGTGACCTCTCTTAGCTTTAGTGTAGTGTTTGCACAATGACTGACAATATGTACCTTTCTCATTAGATTGTTGGGAGGATTCAAGGAGATGCTGCATGGACAGCGATTAGCATAGAGCTGGTATGTAGTAATTATTCAGTAAATAGTAGCTACTTAAGTAATTGCAGCTATTAAAATTAATCATGTTATCATTATGACCAGTGTAATCCTTTTGAAAATGGTCACTGGATGGAAGTCTTTCATTGCCCACCAGTCATGTTGCTTTTTGTCTCCCTACGCGTTGAGTGAATTGTTTCAGGTGAAAGGCAGCTGAGGGCCGGGTCAAAGAAATCACTGCTGAGGCCACAAGGTGATGCTCTTGACCATCAAGTCTCCCTGAGAGAGAAAATGCCCTTCTCATTCCCACACTCCCCTTAAATGCAAGCTTAGACTCCTTCCACAAGCCATAATGCAAAGAATAACAGGATGTGTTTTGAGAACTCCCCTCCCACCAAGACAGTAGAATCAGGAGAAAGTCTTTGTAGGGCTGGGAGGGAGAGCTGTAAAAAAGGAATGGATGGGCCGGGGGTGAGTGTTCTGCCTTTACCTTCTCTGAGGGAGGAACCAGAGAGGTTCAGTGAACCCTCGAGTGGGGGCTTGTTTCTCACGTCCCAGCATAGAGTGTGGGCAAATTTCAAGCTGCCTCAGGGAAGCCAGAACCAGAACAACAGGAACTACTGGTTAGTTGGTTAGAAATGGCATGGGAGGCGGCTCTGCAGCAGGGACCTCTGAGTTACACATGCTGGCATGGTTCAGGGGTGTCTGAGTGCCCCGGGTCCATGGGTGGATGGGACAGTGGGTGGCTGGACCACAGACATCAGCCATGGCCACCAACATGATGCCAAAGAGCCCTGCTTCTCTCTGTGTTTCCTTCCAATCCTCCCTCCAGCCAAGGTCATCTCCTCTGGGTGAAGTGCCGGGTTGTATACAAGAGGCCGTTTTCTCAACAGAAGTGGGCGGGGGCATGGTTTCCTCACCCCCCCCCCCCCCCGCCCACACACACACATACAATGCCCAGTGGGGCCATAGGGAATGGCGGGAGCACTCAGGACTGAGCCAGAGCACCCCCTAACCTTACTGAGAGACCTCGGGCATGTCTCTACCCCTCTTGGGACCGCATTTTCCTCATCAATAGAACAATGGCGCCTACATTGCAGTTCCTTTCATTTCAGATATTTGTTGAGACTTATCTTTAGCTCACGCTTCCCGTTTTCTGCATTGGTGGATTCTAGGGTACTGCCCCCTGCTTTGTTGACATGTTATTTTATACTTGATGCTAGGTCATTATCCATCTTTCCAACCCAAACTCCCCATCTGGTCAAGTAGGACAGCAAGGCATAAACGTTGGCAGTTCTGAGTATAGCCCTCATTTACTGATGGCGAGGTGTCAGGTGTTTTAAACACATATCTCTACCCTTCACAAACTTGCAAAATAATTGTTATAATCTACATGTCGCTGATGAGTTGACTATGGCTCACAATCATACAAGGTTGGAATTCTTGATTCTAAATTCCTGTCATTTATTTTTATTTACCACATCATCTTGTCTTTCGTTTTTGCCTTTAGCATCTATTTCCTGAAGTGCCTAAATATTTTGGAGGCAAATGGATCTGGCTGTGCCGTGTGAGTGCCACGAACCCTGGCCGTGGGATCTGTTCCAGCCAAGGGCCCGATACTCACCGCCCAGGGCGCCGGTGCCGGCCACCAGCAGGAGCAGCCACACGCTCTTGGAGGCCATCCTCCTCTTCCCCGGGGGCAGACGAGCTTCGGAACCGTTTACCAAAAGGATCTCAGAGCCCTGGCCAGTGTTCCCTGGAAGCTCCCGGGTTCACCTAGATCTGCAATCTGAACACATGTGCGCTGGTGAGATGGAGCTAGGAATTCAGGTGCCAAATCACATATGGAGAACAAAAATATTTTTCTGGCTAAACCAAGGTTATACACCAAAGGGCATCTTCAACTAAATGTTTAGGAGAGTGGGAATATTGAACGTATGAGGTGTTGTTCATGTCTGCCATGTCTCTGGGCCAGTGCCAGGGACCTCGCTGTACTGGGTTGAATGCTTTAAAAGTCCATGCAGAGGCATTAGGTATTTTGTGGAGAGCCTGCCCCTGCTATTCTGAGGGGCACCGCCAGAGGGTGTCGCAGGCAAGATTTCTCACAGACAAGGAAGTAATGGGCTTGCTGTGGACAAGTCAATCAAATCAAAGCAGTGAATTGTTTGGTGCTAAATTTCAAAGCGAATATATGCTCTTAACACCCACATTTTCCAGTTGAGGAAACCGGAGGCTGATGGGTCTAAAGTCATTTGCTCACTGTCACACAGCTACAACCAGATTTTCTGACTCAAGCGCAGCCCTTTTACACTTAGGCGGTGCCCCTTTTTAAAATAAAAGTTTGTTATCTTGTCCCACCATCAAACAGTATATGCTCAGTGAAAAACTAGAAAGTGAGAAGTAAATCCCATCTCCCAGAGATACACAATTTAGAAACTAGCTTATAGACCTCTTCCCATATACATCTCTCTGTGTGAGAGATTTTACATAAATGGAGTCATAGAGTCCTGCAACCTGGTTTTGTTTCTTAGAAACAAATTGATGGTAATAAATCTTTTCCACTCGTGTAATTTTTATGCAGCTTCGATCCTTTCTTTGGTATAAATTCACATACACAGGGTTCTAGCTGCACGGAACGTGGGCATTGCTGCATTGATACCCGTGGCTCAGATGCCCTCCATTTGAGCTGCATTGTACATTCCACTAACTGCACCCTCAATGAATGCCCAATTTGTCTATTGCGTTCTTGCTAATGCTGGTATATTAGAGAAACACCTCATTGTTTTTGTTAGCATGTAAAATATACTAATGAAGTAGAACATCTCTTCATACAGGGATGAGATTTTAAAGTTTCTTTTGTAAAGGTTTGGTTTATAGCTTTGCTACTTGATTGTTTATCTTTTTTTCTCGGGAATTTGTGAAACCTTTTTTTGAATAGTTATTGCCTTTTGTATTTAAATAGTATTTGCCTTTTGTATTTAAATTTCAGAATATTTCCCATTTTGTATTTTCTCTTGTTTATCTTGTTTGCCATACTGAAAATTTCAAAAATCGTCATATCTCCTGTCTCCTTTCTATCTTTGGAATTGATATCAGAAAAACTGGCCATCACCATCCACATACATACCCATATTCTCCTCTATTTTCATCCATCTGGCATTTATTTTAGTGTAAGCATGGGAATGGGCCCAAGATTTCCCCCCAAGTAATTATGAAAATGGGCAATTCATTGACTTCTCAGTTAAGCATGCATTAGGATTCAAAAATCAGGACACGTGTTCTAGCTCTCAAATAATACATTGCTTAAGGGGAACAATAGAACATGACTTTGAAATGGAAACTTTCCTGGAAAATCAAAAGATTAGCTCTATATTAGACTCCATATGGACACCTGGATACAGTTAATAAAAAGGAAACAAAAGGATGAAGAGTGTGTGGGGCTGTGATGACCACCCTCCCTCCTTTATTTTTATTTTATTTTTTAAAATATATTTATTATTGATTCCAGAGAGGAAGGGAGAGGAAAAGAGATAGAAACATCAATGATGAGAGAAAATCACTGATTGGCTGCCTCCTGCATGCTCCCCACTGAGGATCAAATCTGCAACCTGGGCATGTGCCCTTGACTGGACTCAAACCTGGGACCCTTCAGTTTGCAGGCCAACACTCTATCCACTGAGCCAAAGCAGCTAGGGCCACCCCCCTCCTTTAAATCACTGCATTAGCCCTGCACTCTTTTGACAAACTTCCTTCCCAAGTGATGGAGGTATTCTCACGTTCCGAAATCCCCCTGAAACACAAATAGCAAGAACTCCTCTGTTAAGCCAACTGTCTGGGGGGGAGGGAGGTACAGCATCTTTCTGAATAATCTACAAATGAATGTTAACAAACCGACATTCATGGAATTTTTACATCTCATCTAATTTAACTCTCATAACTAGACTGTACTGCAGGTATCATTAGCTCATTTACGAGGACACTGACATTCATTAGGATTAACTTTCTTGCCTAGCCGGTGTGGCTCAGTGGTTGAGTGTCAACCTAGGAACCAAGAGGTCACCGATTCCATTCCTGATCAGGACACATGCCTGGGTTTCGAGCTTGATCCCTAGAGGGGGGCATGCAGGAAGAAGGCAAACGATCAATGATGTTTCTCTCTAATCAATATTTCTATCTCTCTATCCCTCTCCTTTCCTCTCTCTCTCTAAAAATCAATAAAAACATATTTTTTAAAAAGTAACTTTCCTGCCCTGACTGGGTGGCTCAGTTGGTTGCAGCAGCATCCAAAACGTTGTGGGTTCAATTCCTGGTTGAGGCACTTACCTAGGTTGTGGGTCCAATTCCTGGTTGGGCCAGGTATGGGAGGCAACTGATCAATGTTTCTCTCACATCGATGTTTCTCTCTCCCCACGCCTCTAAAAAATCAATAAACATATCCTTGGATGAAGATTAAAAAAACAAAAGATTAACTTTCTTAAAGTTCCACAGCTGCTCGATTGCAGAGCCATGATTTAACCCTGCACTATTTGAGGCCAAAGCCAATGCTCTTACTAATGGGGGGAGAAAGAAAATAAGTCATTCATATATCACACAGAACAGCCAGAAGCATGCCCAACACCATTAGAGCTGCAACTTATCGTTTCTGCCCAGTGAATAGCTGGCAGAGAGCAGGAGGGTTACCTGGTTGGCATGCAAGGCTCTGAGGACCGCCTTCTTCAGCCTTCTGAGAGACCCCGGGGCAGTTTCTGCAGCTCTTATATCTTCTTCCCTCAGGAATTATATAACCGTTGTTTTAATCATAGAGCAATAACATTGTTTACAAATAATCCATCCATAAAAGTCTTATCTGCGGCCGGAGCACACGGTCTGAGGGATGGCTTGACAAAGGCTGTACGCTGTGTTTTCAGCAAACAGAAGGGAAACCTCTCCCTGTTTGCACACAGAATCTGTTCTTTACAGCCCACGTTCTCTCAACTGGCAAAATCCTGTCATCAGCGATAGCCCATCTTCCTCTCCCGTATTTCCTTTTTCTTTGGTCTCTCTTTTCATCCCTTTGCTGTATTTCCCCTTCTTTTCTGTAAAGATGCCCCCTTCAACTCTGGGGACTCGTGATGTTTGTAGCCTCACAGAAAGGATTTGCCATCGGGGCAGGATATAGGCAATTCCCCGTGTGGTGGACATACAGGCTTTCTCTCTGAAGCGCCAACCCCGCCCCTCTGCCATTCTGACGATGCTCTGAAGAAATATCACCAGGGTTGCTTCCCATGGGTCCTGGTTCAGGTCCTCATTCTGTTGCCCACACACCGTGTACCACTGGGCATGTTCCCCAACCTCCCTGAAGGCTCAGTTTCCCCACTAACTGTGTGTGGTTGGTATTACCGGATGAGTTATATTTTTTACACTTCCTGTTAAACACAAGCCCCTTCCCCTTTGGGCAGCTGAATGGGCATTGCCATTGCTTCATAGCACAGTAGAGAACAGTGATATGAACTCCCAGGCTTTTCAGTTCAAAGCACCGGTCCAGGTGTAAGAGAGGAAAGCTTTGACAAAACATGTGATTAGGTAAATCTTCCCCTGTCCTCCCCCTCGCTCTGCTAGCTCCACGCCACTACATAAAGATTGTTAGTCTTGAGATGAGAGAGGAAAGAGGAGATTAGACAGAAGTAGATGCTCCTAAGACTTTAAGAGTTCTTTCCCTGACTCCCCACTAGTTAGCGCCAGAGGTGGGCCTTGATTGAACCCACATAAAAGTGTGGGATGTAAGACCAAGGTCACTGGAGAGACATCTGAATTGAAAAGGCCCACTGACTACTGAGTAGAATTATTAAAGTATCTTCCACATGTAGACACACCATACATGAAATTTAGAAAAAGAGAATCCTAAAACCACAAACCAGCAACAAGAATTGAAATGGCACTGCATCGGGGAAATAAAAATGGAACTCAGAAAACCTTAAATTATCTTTCTTTGGGGGGAGAGGGATGTTTGTTGGGAGTTTCTTGATTACTGATTCGATTTTGTTTGTAGTATTTTCCTATAAGCTTTTATTATTTCTGTGGTGTGCATCTAGTTTTACACATCTTTGAAATAAGCTAACTACCCTCAAAAGAGCACATAACCTTTAAAAAATAGATGGTTTTATTGATTTCAGAGGGAGGAAGGAAGAGGGAGAGATAGACACATAATGATGAGAGAAAATCATTGATCAGCTGCCTCCTGCATGTCCCCACTAGGGATCAAGCCACAACTCGGGCATGTGCCCTGACCAGGAATCAAACCGTGACCTCCTGGTTCATAGGTCGATGCTCAATCACCGAGTCACACCGGCCGGGCGTATTGTTGTTATTGAGAAGACAGTCACCTTTGGGAGAGAGACGTGGTTTATTTCCTCCCTTGGCAGAATCATGCTCTACGCCCAGGTGAAGCACCTTACCTTCCTCCACGTGGTGATGCTACTCGGCTCCTGGGAAAGACGCCTGCGCGTGCCAACACTTAACTGATGTGTCTCCACAGGCGGCGATACCCGTCTGGGAAGAGGAGGGCAGTTCAAAAGGCGGATGACAGAGTGAATTTTCTGATGGAAAATCAAATATGAGCCCTTGAGATGGTTCCACAAACATTCAGTGAGAAAGAGAGAGAGAGAGAGAGAGAGAGAGAGAGAACACCAAGGACCCAGGTGGG